ATTTTATATACCATGACTGACTTTTACATTTACCATACTTAATGTAGTTGCATTTATATATGCATAATTCAAAAAGGAAAATTTTTGTCGACATATAAATCAAAATACAAATTATTTGAGCATTATATGGACATTATGTAATATAATTATATGTAAAATATAATTAAATATAATTAAAAATACTAAAATAAAACATATTTTTTATATACTTCCGATGAATAATAATCACACTAAGTCATTTATTAACCCTTAAGTCAATTTAAATAAAAGTTAGTATGTCGATTATAACATTAAATGTTTAATAATAAATTTTTTTTAAACTCGTATGCACATTTATATGCATACATAGTAAAAAACATTTCGTGTTAAAACGAATCTTTGTTAAAATTTTTGTGTTGAATTTTTAATATATTCGAGTGTTTTTTAATAATTATTAATAACTTAATAATTAATTATAATTATTAATAATAATTTAACATAATGTGATTGTATATTCATCTTATATTAAATTAACAAAAATTTTGGTAGACCGTTTGGGACATGTGAAATATGTCCCAAACGGGTGATTAAATTTAACACAAACTTTTTTATTGTGTACATACATATATGTATAAAGATTATGCATTTCGCAGGCTGCTCCTCGCTTTGATGAAGTGGACTGCAATGTTCACGAAACATTAGCATTTCAAGAATGGATTTGGACACGAAGAAAATCTGCAAAACGCGTAATCTTTGTATAGAAAGCACTCGTGGAAGCCTCAAGAATATTATACATATACATATTAAAAAGAGAAAGTAGCAGTAAAACAAAGACGATAACATCATAATTATTTTTCTTTTTATTTCTATCTATATTATCAAACATGTACTATAGAAAAACCCAGTGAGAAATGATAATGGAATTGACATCGAATCGATGTCGAAATCATTAAATCGACGTCGAATGGATGTCGATTCGACATCGATTTTATTATTATTTCTCATTGGGTAATATATAGTGTACTGGGTCTGACTATGTACATTTATGACCTTTCATGTTTTCTTTCGTTGTTCTTCGAATCATTAGGACTACCACTCGCGTTATGAGTTTACTGACAATATTAAAATAAAGATACATAGGCGTATATCATTTAAAATTAACGAAATTACTCTTCAAACTTCTGTGATACATTAATCTCACAATCAGGTATGTATTTAAAACAATGTTATACGCGTATGTCACTTAAAAGTTAGTTGTTTCTTGGAAAATACTGTCCTTCTTCTGAATTATGTTTTTAACACTGAAATTAGCAATTTTGCGCATATAATATAAGATTGTGAATTAGATTGTGAATCAGAAATAATCATTAATAATCATTATAAAACGCACTTATACTTTAGGTATATATTTTGAGATGTAGAAGTTGGATTCATATGAACTGACATTTGTTTGGCGTTAAAGGAAACGTATTGGACGAATATAAAAAGACGAGGAATCGAATTATCTTAGAAGACTGACCAGCATCGCAAAGTTAAAAGATTATTTCATTTTACGAGATTTATACTAAATATAGATATATGTCAGTCTAATCTATTAAAAATAAATATGCATGTGAATCCTGAAGAAACCATTCAATACAGTAAACATTTATTAGACTTATTAATAATGATATTGAAAAGATATATTATAAACGATAATTCTCTGCTCATATTTTTGCCTGAGATACAGTTTTTAAACGAATTCTCCCTGACTGAAGTTGTTCCCTTAATGTTATCTCAACCAAGAACGATTATTAAAAGAATGATGGAGATACATGTAAAACAAACGGAAGCTATTTTAAAAAACCCTATAAATTTAACTACATTTATTTATAAATACAAGTTTGACGAAGAAGAAGAAAAATTCGTTTTTTCCAATGATATGCCGTTTAGTATTGATGTCATTATTATATGTTTTTTGCATATTATGGGACTGACTAAAATTGATCACGTCCACCCTGCAGTACAGGATTTAATCGCAGTTATGAGAAAGAAATATCGTGTATCTTATACGAAAAACTTTAAACCAATAATAATTACTGAAAATGAAATAGTAATCTCTTATCCAAGTGTATCTATACCTTTGTATTATTATAATAATATATTTAATCCTAGTCTTATTTTACTATTACATGTATCAAGTATCTATTTTTATTTACCGTGGTGTTCGTGGTTAGCTTTAATTATCCCCGTAATAGAGTCAGAGTTTAAAACCCCACTTGCATTGCTTCTTGCTATGGCTGTTGTATGCGAGAACGATACATCTTCTTACGTATTATATCAACGAATTCTTGCGTTCTACACTTCCGAAGTATTCCCTAGAAATTTTCAACTAGAAATATGCACATATTTGGGTATCGTATACAAGGAAAACGATAAATATAGATTTGCTTCTTATTTTACTATATATCGTGAGGAAGCTATAAAATTAATATCTGCTAACATAAATAATGATGAAAGCATAAACTATACGCTTTCTAAAATATAGACATGTTTAATGATTCTGTATTGCTAAAAAAAAATTAATAATATCCCAAGAAAAAATATTTTATATATATAATTCTATATAATTATATGTAATTATTTAAAATTATATCAAATTATATAAAAAATTAATATATATTATATGTATAAATGTATATAATTATATAAAAAAATATGTAATATTTTTTTTCCCGGGATAATATGTAAAAAATTAATAATTTCATTTTCCTTGATTAATTAATAAAGTACTATAAGGCAAAAAATTGTGTTCAATAATGCAATTTTATAACAATTATTATGAAATAAATTATAAATATAAAGATTATGCCATTCCGATATTCCAAGAATGAATCTGTACACCCATAACTGTAAAACGCATAATCTTTATATAGAAAGCACCCGTAGAAGCTTCAAGAATATTATCAAATTATAAATATTTTAATTAATTGCACCAATAATAATTAGGAAATGATGATACTGTCTAATAAATTTCAATCCGTTTCCAAATTGTTTAGGAGATTTTTTCGATGTAAGTGTGTGCCAAAAATATCTTCAGTAATAAAAACATAATGCGATATCATTATTATAGATTTTAAATTAATACGTTTTTCTCTAAAAGGATTATTTCTCTTAATTTCACTAAGTGTTCTTTGTTTTTCAGGAAATAATTTTTAATATTAGGAATAATAGAAATCCAAAACAATTGTGTTACAAATATATATTTTCTAGGTTTTAAATATATTATAAAATAAAATTTTCACTTTTTGATGACTTCATTTTTATGCATAAAAAGATAATATGAAGCGATTTATATAAATTAAACGCTATATTAATATAAGAAAGTATGTACATATAAAATGAACATTTTTTTCTTAATTACAATTGTATTTTGCTTTAGATTAATTTCTTAATTCTTTAAGAGGAAGCAATTTATTACAAGAAAATTTATATGATGTCTAATAAAAAAATAATATTGGCATAGAAAACATTCACACATATACAGAATGAGGCATTTAAAACATTTTAAACATAATTTGCTTGTTTTTAAAAATAGAAAGAAAAGTTTCAAACAAAAATTGCATTGGTTTCGAGAGAGACGTAATTTGGTCATGTTGTTTTTCTTTTAGGTGGAGGCGTTAAAAAAACATAAAAATCACTTCCACTTTTTAAAATAAAATTAAACGATTTTTTTTTACGTAATATGATTTTACATAATTCTCTGACTATTTTGTATATGAAAGTATAAAGGTAGACATATCAAAAAACCAATAGTTTACGAGATATTTTATTTTATTTTAGCACATATTGATAGCACATATAAAATGTTAAATAATATACATTTTTATGTAATGTACATTTTTATCATACCTTAATATTTTTTGTGCAGAATAATGAGATGAATCAATTGATGTAAAGAAAACGCATAGTTGCTTATTTAAAAAATTATTCTTTTTGCATACATATTTTTTTTTAAGCAACTGTGTTTTTTTTTACACCAATTAATTCATCTCATTATTTTATGCATAAAAGTATTAATATAATTATAAAATATTAATAGTTTATGAGAAATTTAATATTCTATGTCAAAATATAGTATATAATCTTATAAATTATTGATTTTTTTATATGTCTATCTTAATACTTTTATATCAGAGTTAGTTAGAGAAATCTTATTACATAAAAAATCATATTCCATTCAAAAATTGGAAGTGATCTTCTTTTTAATGTCTCCATTTAGAAAAAAAACAACATGACTAAAATACGTCCTCCTCAAAATTGAAAAATTTTTGTTTGAAACTTCTTTTTATTGTTGAATGCAAGCGAGTTGTTCAGATGGCTTTAAATACCTCACCCGTATATTTCGAGGTACATTATTAAATAAATATTTTTAAATATTTTTTATTTTAAAAATATTGAATTTTAAATGAAAGCAGAAAATATATAAACAATTTGTTGTATGGATAATACTTCTCTCCTAAAGTTGAGAGTCTTTTAAAGCTGAAACATTTTTTGATGACACTATCCAACAAGAAATGGTTTATTAAATTGTCGAATTAACATTAAAATGATGATAATGTCGATTTGAAACTGACTTGACATCTAATTGACAGTCATTTTGCTGGACAATTATTTCAAATTTACTTAAATGTAATTTTTAAAAGGACACCATATATGTTTTTTGTATCATGAGCATTTTACGTATCATCATTTTACGCATTTTATGATTCAGTCTAATTTAAATATACAAGATAAAATTAAAATAAATACTTTTTGATGATAATAACATTTATTTAGTTAATCAATATTTTTTTATGAGTTTATTAACTACAATTAGTATAATACCTTTCGAAGAAATGTAATTTTTAAGAATTTGTTAAAAGAATTTTTGTATGAAATGTCTAAAAATTTATATTATACAGTTTTAAACATTTCATAAGAGATTTATATATTGTAAAACACTATTATAAAAAATAATTATTAAAAAGGTTATTAAAATGTAACTTGATTATATATTTTATTTTTCGTACTTATATGTCAACATTCTTCCTTAAATATAAGATCTGACTTTGAATACGGACATAAGACGTGAACCATCATTTGTGAGAAAAATGGATAAATAGTTAAAAAAGAAAAGTCTCTAAATTGAAATGTTTCCAAGTGTAACTCTTAAATAATTCTATCTTATAATAGAAAAGTAAGTAAAAATTATTTTCAGTCAAACGTCGTTATCATGGAAAAATATTTCTTTAATTCTTATAATTTCGTCAAATCTAATAAGCACTATAGCTAAATGTATAGTTACCACGTATATTTACTTGGTCATTGTATTTGTGTTTTCCTGGCTTTATTTTTCAGTTTTTCATTATAGAGAACACTTTTTCGATTAGTACTTATTAAAACGAACTTCTTCAAAGATAACGTGATTTAACGATGATTTAAGATAAAGTAATTCCAGTTTTAATTCCAGTTTATATTCTTCTGCAATGTATCAGTTCTTTAGGTATATTTTAAATATTATTTTATTGTTAGCATTTCAAAATTCGAACATTAAATCCATTTGAAATAATGTATTATAACTTTTCTTATGTTAAGTAACTATGTTGAATTCCTATTACTGTGTCTGTTCCTATTAGTGTGTTTTTGTATTTAAATAAGCCAAAAGAAAAATGGTACAAATCAGTAAGAAAATTAACATGTTACAATATAGGAAATCAACATATTACATTCGCTATTGCTCACATTATGGTTTTACAATTTGTAGTGTGATTGTATGATTCACTTACTACTCAAGTCTTACGTCTTAAGTTTTTCTATGTATTATGTATCTATCTATGTATCTACCTTTATAATAGTATATGTATAATACATATTCTATCTACCTTTATTATAAGTTCTAATTGTTGTAAATGTCAGATTTCTGCCATTTTTTACTACGAATGCTTTCCATGAAAAGTTAGGGAGAAGCTTAAATTAAGTTCAATTAATTTTAATTATTCTCAAGTGTAATCCGTCTTTCGGTGTTAATAAGAGTGTCTTAGGATTGTTTACGTAAGGTATTGAAGTTTTCTCGCAAATCTCAAATTTGTAATTCCGTAGTGCTTTTATAAGTCCAATTTTACTTTGGTAAACACCGAAACGTGCACCTGAAAATAAAAAATGAAAATAAAATCATAATATAAAATAGCTCAAAGTTCTCAAATAAAAATATTTTAGAATAAAAAGAAATAGAAAGTGATATTTATTTAATTTTATCAATACAAAAGTGATATTTATTTAATTTTATATTAAATTTATTTAATTTTACCAATACAATTCCTTGGCCCGTCCCCGAAAGGTAGATAAGTCATCGGATGCCTACTTTGCACAGCATCATCACAAAATCTTTCTGGATCAAAGACATCTGGCTTTGGATAAATATCTGAATCTCGCTGAATCGCGTAAATAGGAATCCATACTTGTTGATTTTTCGGTATGCTAACTTTGGTACCATCAAAAGTATAACTCGACATAGATTGTCTCTGAAGAAATGTCACTGGCGGATATTTTCGTAAGGTTTCTGTATGCATTAAGAATAGTGTTACATTATAAAAATATATTTTTAAAAAACTATGATTAAATTGAAAAAGGTTATTACAAATGAGATAAAAATATTATATATGTATACATATAATTATATATTGGAACTTCACTGAAAAGAACAATACGTATAGGCATATTAAATTTATAAGTATTGAAAAACTATTAATAACAATTAGATTAAAGTTTATTAGCAATAAAGTTATATTGTCAAAAAGATAGAAAAGAAAATAAAAAAGATAAAAGCATATTTATACTTTCTTATTTAATTTTTTCTTTAAATGACGTACCTCTAAAAACTTTATCTAAATAATCCATTTTTTTTACATTATCGTATGTTAAATTGTCACCATGTTTTGCATAGACTTCATTAATTTCTTTACGTAGACTATTTTGTATTTTCTCATTTAGTGCTAATTCGTAAAGCGCATGGCTAATAGTAGACGAGGAAGTTTCGAAGCCAGCAACGAAAAATACGAATGCTTGAGCAGTTAGTAAACTATCTGTCAAATCTGAAATGTCGTTTTTTCTTATAAATAAATCTTATAAATAAAATTTAATTTTCATTCAATTACATAAATTAATTACTTAACAATTTATACATATATGTATAGAAGGAAAATGTATAACTTTGAAAATAATAAATACAATTTTTATTGTATATAAATTGTTGATAAGTAATTTATGTAAAATAATAATTGCTAACTTTTCTAAAATGCAGCTATAATAAAAAAGTGATTATAGTCAAATTAAAATTAATTAATTACATTTTGATGTTTTTATTTGTAAAATTATTTCATTATTTGTATAAATTAATGTAATTTTTCCATGTAAGAAATTGTCTTATATCGGAAAAAAGCAACATACCTAGCAAACACAAAGTTACACATAAGATACATTTATGTTAGTTGTAATTTCTTACTCAATAATATAACTGTAATATAACATGTGTCTGTAACGTCCGGCTATCAAAACTCATTAGCTGATGACCCGGCTTAAGAGTACATACAAGAGTAGATATAATAAATCACGTAACGAAAGTAGATATAATAAATCACATAAGGTTATAAGATACCGAATACAATCAGTATCACGAGCATCCAAGCCATGATATCCACGCGCTCACATCGTGAACGTCGTGGAATGTCTTATGCGGCGAGAGCTATATCAATTTATTAAAATATAATTGTAGCATAACAAAACACAAATCCTTTTACATAAATAAATCTATTTCATATGCGTTCATTTTATCTTAAAACCAGTAATTAATTTATATTATAAATCGTATAGAATGATAAGTCGTATGTAAAAAATATATATAAAGATCTTTATATCGTAATAATTGACACACGAATGATTAAACAAAATTAATTGCGAGTTTAATATTTATAAAATTCGCGCTTCGCGCTAGCTACACTTATAACTATTATATATTATATTTTCATATATTATATTTCAACAGTTATTATGTTGTTCTCTTGATATTTATAAATTTCGCACGTTGCTATTTCCACATTCAGATAATTGTCTACAAATCACGAGAGAATCTCAATTTATTAATTGACAAAGAGAATTTCATAGCATATCTATAAGTAACAACAATCATTCAAGTTTTATTCATTAAACTTGCTAAAGAGTCATTCGTCTAGTATTTCGTTTTTACACTGATCTCAATTGAATATCGCGTAACATTATATCTTATGATGATGGATAATTTCAAAAAGAGTTATGAGCTGTCTAAGATTATCAAGATCGAGGCAGTAAACATTAAAATAAATAAATTAATTGAATTAGATATTACTTTAACAGCACAAAGTCTCTAAATCGACTCTGAGTCGATTATAGCTTCTAGACGTCTAAAAAATGGACGTCCGTAAATCGACTTTAGACGACTTGGAGACGTCTCTAAGTCATACAAATCCCACTTTAAAGACGACTGTAAGCCGACTTTAAGTCAACTATTCTAGGCTGTGGTTCAATTCATGCCCATAACGCTCATGAACAGCATTCATCCCTGTTTAACTATAGTTCAACAACAAGGACAAAATGATTCCACATTTAAGCTTTGTGAGCGTAAATCGCACTAGATGTCCTAAAGTCGATATTCATCGGAAGGACATCTGTACAAAGTCGACTCTAAAGGTTTGACTTAGCAAAGTCAACTTACAATCGACGTATCGATGTTTATACTGTTAGTAGATGCGTAAATCATTTCAGTATTCTTTCTTTTCATATCAAGACTTTGAGCGACGTGCGCGGGTATCCTTTCTAAGCGGGTATCCGACGAGTGTTGACAGAGTCCCGAAAGTGAAGCAAAGCACGTCAAACAATAGCTGCGTTCAGCTCAACAGTTGAGTAAGCGCTCGCTGTTATTGGTGTAGTCTTTTAGAACATCCAATCAGCATTTTAGATCTGGAAGAATATATCAATAGCAACGAGCGCTCACTCAATTGTTGAGTCCGCTGAACGCAGTCATTAACATTCTTACAAGCCAGATATCTAGGCAGACTGCCCGGAGTCAAAGTTTCAGCGATGTTCATATACTCGCGAAAAGCAAGTCTCATCCGGACGAAACAGTGTCACATTACAGTTATATTGTTGAGTAAATAAATAAAGAGTAACAGATACATATGTTACATGTAACTTAGTGTTTGCTGGATATATGTATATACATATAAGATCACGTAAGTACATACCAAAATTATCACCCAATTTATCTGGATGTTTCTTTAATTCGCGTAACATATCAATAAAATCATTCCTAGTAATATTATTCACTTCTCTGTAATTTATGGTCTCCACGATGACTCGTGTGAAGAATTTGGTAATTTCTGTTTGCGGTAAAATATAACCGAGCATTTCGTACAGCCGCGGAAAAGATTCTCTCAGTCTTAATCGTAATATATTTGTCCATGTCGGAATTAATATTTTCCTTCCCATCTTGCGAAATTCGCTGTCCTCGTTTGACAATGCGTTCATATCGATACCAAAAGCACAGGTACCGATTACATCAGTCGCATATTTGGCCATCAACTCGCGGCATTCTACTGTTATCTTTTCCATGTACAGGATCAGGTGATCAGCACATTCTGATATTAAAGAAAACATTTCCTTTAATTTACCGGATGTAAAAACAGGTGACAACCGCATTCTTAACGGTCGCCATCTCTTTGGCTCCAAAGTGAAAAGATGTTGCGACAATGGCTCGACCTGCAATATGTGACAGAAACAAAACATAAATCAAATAAATTTAACTCAAAATTAATTTTTATTAGTTTAGTTTTTTTTACAAAACTAATTTAAAAGAATTTGATTAAGATTTTTAAAGGTAATACAAATAAAAAATAGAATAAAAAACGGACAATTAAGAGCATTAATATGCGGTGATTGGTTTATGATATTCGCATCAATTCGCGTATTAATGCTCTTAATTGCTCGTTTTTTATTCTATTTTTTATTTGTGTTAATATTTCAAGAGCCAATTTGAATTAGTTTTAAAGGTAAATCTCACTATTTTTAATAAGTCTCGCGTCATTCAAAGTAGAATTAAGTATACCTACGTGATGCGCTGTGTATTCCGTTTATTCTTTGTTCTTATATTACTTTGTATATTCTTGTAGTGATGTTTAGTGTATTCTCACCTTTTTAAGATTAGGAAATCCTCTGTCAGCAAAGTTGGAGAAATCTTTGATAAGAATATTCTTAATTAAATCTAGATCTTTTACAATAAGAATAGGTGTCTTCCTGGCAAATGCCCCAATCAATGGTTCATTTTTGTAAGTGTTATATATTTCTTTTACATAATCACCCACAAATTTTTTATTGAGTATAACATCTTTAAAATTACCAAGTCCCGGTATTGGTCGTGGACCGGGAACGCCACGTGACTTCCAAAAGTCAAAAGTCGATGTAAGAAAATAATAAATAGCAAGAACAACGGCGGCAATGCCACATAATATTTCAAAGGATTCCATTATCCAACAATCGTTGATCGATTATTATGAATAATCTTTACTGAAAAAAAGAGAAAAGATATTCTGTTGTATAAAGCTCCTCGTCTTAAGGTATATATAGAAAAAGATAGTTAAATTTGATATAAATGTACATGATAAAATATATATGTGTAAGTTAAATTTTTGATGAAATTTTATCGATATTAAAACAATTGAGAAATCACTTTTTCTCTCAATTTTCGATTACCGGAACACATAATAATATTAATCACAATAACTATAATAGTATATATAGCTAGAACATCTTTTAGGCGAAGTAAATAAACAATATTAATCCTCCGCGAACCAGAGTGTGACATATCCCAGCAAAAGGAATTTCTATAACTTCTTAAGAAGTTACCACGTACATGGTTTCGTGCAACTGGAGACTGCGTTGTTATCAATCATACTAAATTATAGCATATTTATTATGAAACATGAGATATATTCACATATGAGCTATGTTGATTTTTTATCTGGTTCGCGAAGGATTAAGTAAAGATAGACCAATGAAATTAAAGTAAGCATGAAAGGAAAATGCAATTTTTGGTCAAAGTCAGGGTCGAAGGTTTCTGCCGCCTCTAGCCAGTTAATTTTTGCTGTCCCCCCTTCAACTGAGGAACAACCACGTCGGCGAAACGAGTACTAAAAAAAGGGTCATCTGCAGGGATTGAGGAACCGTAAAATTATTTTCTTTAACATAAGAATGAATTTTCAATGCAAAAATGGAAATAAGAGAAACAATTCTCAATGATCTCAACAAATGCTATCCAGGACATATTCTTGAACAAGAAGTTTTAGCCGTCGGTCGAATACCTTGTAATACTAATGCCGGCGATAGGTATACTGTAACTTTCAAGTCTTATAACTCAAACAATATTTTATGAAAAATAACTTTATTGCAATGTTTTGAAAAGTTCTTAATACCAGCTATTAGATTCTGGAATAAAAAGTAGGATCTGCCGCTTTAAAAATCGATGTGACCTGACTTTGGCGACGCCACACAAAATCAAACTGTTAAGATCAGTAAATAGATTTTTTTAACCCGACTTTTGTCTGAAGCATTTTTCTATAAAACTTATCTTTTTTGAGATATTCAAGTGTCTCGACCTTTTTGGAACATCCTGTATACGTTTTTTTGATTCAATGCGTTGAAGTGAGTAGAAGCTATAATAAGAGCATATTGGAGCATGCCTTTAGTGATCAATGAAAAATTTTCTCAATCTTTCACGTGACAAAAAATGGTTATTTTTTTAAAACTTCTTTTCACAAAATGCCACCCTCTTAAATTTGCTACCCCTAGACTATAATTTAGGTTTTAGTTCTAATATGACACTGGTCAAGGTAGGTCACTGATCTTCATGCCTAATATTTTTTGTGAATTTATAGTTTGAACTGGAAATTGTATAAATTCACAAGAAATATTAAATACGAAAAATCACCTTGACCGGAAATGGCGTTTTTCACTCATATATATTTATTTCTGTACCTTTCATCCCAGGAAAAAATATTTTATATATAATTATATATATATTTATTGTATAATTATATTTAAATTTATATATAAAATTATATTAAATTATATAGAATTTATAATTATACAATATATAAAATATTTTTTCCTTAACGTGCATAAAAAAATAGAAATAATAAAAATAGAAATAATCTCGAAATGTTTATCCGAGAAACAGTGCTAGAATTAATATTAACACTTATGCGCAATACGTTACATCATCAAAGAAGATAATTAAGAAAATTGAAAGAAAAACAACAGTATAGACAATTATTTTTCAATATAGCATGCTGAAATGCGTAGATATTACGTCATGATACAATGCAAATTACTTGTATCTTGAAAATTAAAAGTAAAATTCAATTTATCGCTCGTTATAAATAAAATTTACCGAAAAATACAATTTAATTTTTCTCAGATTTTTCCATCGATGTATTTTTATTGTATAGGATGTCCGGAAAATCAAGATTAATATTTTGGGAAGTAATTCGGGAGCCAAAAAGGAGAAAAAAAAATTATATAAACATAGGTCCGGAAATAAGTTCCGAGTTATAACTTTTATGTTAAAAAATTGAAATTTATTTTTCATTATTACAATCATAATGTTTTAAGTCAGCAATATTATTGGGCGCATTTCTGTAAATTATTGACTTTACGTGACTCCATAGATAAAAATCAAGTGGATTTGTATCTGGTGATCTTGGGGATCAAGTAATCGGACCTACATGTCCTCCATCTCCATTTTGATTGAAAATAATCTCTGGCTAATAATATTGCGGACTTAAGACAAAGAATAATCTATGAATTCGAAGAAATAAGGAGAGATCCAAATATTTTTCGAAAAGTTCGGAATTTCTTTGATAGAAGAATAAAGACCTACATTCGTGCTGAAGGTAGTCATTTTGAACATTTAATTTAATTTCTATTATATTTAACCTGTTCATGTTTATCTAAAAATAATGCGGTAATTACAAATATCGTATTTAATAATAAAATACCATATGTTCTTTTGCTTTAAAATTTAAAACTATCCTTGATCTTGAGCAATACTCTTTTAGCAGTAAGATGGAAATAAAATATGAAAATACAGATACAGATATATCAATGTTCCTTTAATTTTGCTTACAATTTTTCCGTGCATATAATGCAGGAATAATTGAATGCACACACATATAACACACATATGCATTGTTAAGATATTGAGAGGCTCGTTAAAAACACATTATTGCAATGCTCCAACGCAACACTCTATTTATATTGCATAATACGACTCCGACAAAATACTTGAGAAATAAAGTAATATTATCAATACAATTTGATATCATTTTATTATTCATCACGCAGTCAAAAGAAAAAATTATATCTTTAAATTATATCAGAAAATTAATTCTTTTCGTTTTTCCAATCTGCTTCATCTTGGTAAGCGACTTCTTTGTCTGATAATAAAAAGTCGACCTGTGATGAAGCGATTTATTTCATACTTAGCAAAATAAAATTACAGAATTTACTTTTCTTCCTTCTGAAATTATCAATTTGGTATTGATATATTAGGTGTTGGAATTAATTCGTAGCGTTTTACAAGTGATGGGAAGTACTTTCATTAATGTATTTTTTAATGCTCATGTGAAATAAATAACATTCTTTCATTAAAAAACGCTACGAATTAATTCCAACACCTAATATAATGGACATACCTAATTGCAGATGACAATACAATGTAACTGCGCACCGGCGATATTGCCGCGTAACACTGAGTGTCAGCTTGTAAGTAAACTATTATCGTATTATAGCTTGCAACAGTGTATAACTTCAGATAATACTAACCGCAGTTGCCTGGATCATGCGAAATTATATAAAGAGGAGATACGAGTTAGTACTGAATCACGATGAATTGTGAAATATCCGAGAGTTATCTCTTTCAATTGCCATGACTTTGCAAATATTAATAAAAAAATTTGAATCGATTAAAAACATTCAATGTAAAAACATTCTTATCCCATCATTGAATGTAAAAACATTCAATGATGAGACTAATGAGAGCAAATATCGCAGTAATTAAAGCGAAAAACAATGTATATATTTTAATAATTTATCTTAAAAATTTTTTAATGTTTTAGCAACACTTTGAATCATGTTCAGCAAATAATTCTTCTACTAGTTTAGTAACAAATTAATGATCTTACAATCATAGATAATTCAGGAAAAATCGTTTCAAAGCCAAAAGAGAGAGAGAGAGAGAGAGAGAGAGAGAGAGAGAGAGAGAGAAGTTTCCCGCTACTTTAATAATTAAAAATCTTATTAAAGATTTTTTTTAATGCATAGTGAGAATTTACTACAAGTGACCGACTGAGAATACATTTGTATAATGAGAATACTATACATTTATATACATTTGTATATAATGTATAACGTATAAAAGAATCAATTGAATCTTTCCTTTCCTTCCACTTCAAAAAGAAGAATTTTGATTTATTGATTCTCTTATACACTATGTGTTATGCGTTATGTAAAAATCTATGGCTGTTTTCAGAACGCGCTTATAACAATGTTAGTGAACTAACATGCTATACTTTACGCATATTATAGAAATTCGAAAATAAATACGCGCTTTTATCGATAAAAGCGTGTTTTGAATAAGTACTTGTGTCACCCTACTGAAAAAAATCATGTCACAACGTTATATAATTATGTAATTAAAACATGTAAATCACGTTGTTACGTCTAATGTTGTGGTTGAGATTTTCTCTGTTTTTGAGTCAATGTATTTAAACAATTTACTCGGAGACCGGAGATTAAATTGTGCAGTTCACTGAGAAGTACCGGATAATTTAGAGGAAGGGTAATCTTGATTTGAAATAAGGGCCGATTTAATTTGGAATCTCAATCTCTTTTCTCTTTGTCTTCGTCCGCCTTTGGTAAGTATGGAGGTAATGCAAAAAAAAAAAGAATTATAATGTTCCGGAGAACCGTCGTAAATGGAGGCCACGCTATTGGCAGCGACAGTCGCAACAACCCCTCAGATATTCATATATGTATATGTACTTGTATGTAACCGATTAAAGATTTAGAGATTCTGTCGATAGATTCGATTCAATATTTTCGTTTATTGAAATAAGTAAATGCTATAAGTAAAACAATGAAAAAGAAAAGTGAGATTCTGATGGAGCGCGAGGATAGTTCTCATCTTGATTGTATAACTGTAACTGTAGCTGTAACTATAACTAAGTAACTCTAACTGACTGACTGTCTGAATATAATCGACTGTTTCTGTCTTGACAACTCCTTTTATATTCTGAAAATGAATGTGGGAGTGTTCTTTCAGAATCAATCGACACTCCTCAAAATTTGGTAGAACCTATACTCGCGCTTTCCTTGAGATAAGGCAGCAAGGCTCCGCGTAAGACCTACTCCCTACTCTACAAATTTATTCTTAATAAGTAATAGTTGAGTTTTAACAATTTGTAGTAATAAAAATTTTCCTTAATATCTTTTATGCGAGGCGAATTCACTACATTCATGTTTAAAATTAATTTAACTTTATTAGAAAAAGAAAAAGGGGAAAAAAAAGATATTCGTTCTCGCATTCAGGAAGATTTCTATTTTACTGCTAATTACTTAAACGCTATAAAAAAAGATATTCGTTAAACGCTAATATAATATACATTATTATTAATGTTAATGAAATTATTAATGTTAATAGAATTTTCGGTTTCGAAATAAAGGGAAATATTAACCTAGCGATAAGATAAAAAGTAAAGTATAAATCGTATATCAATGAAGAATATCTATAAAGAATGAGATGATTTTATCGGGATGTAACAGTCTCTTAATTTCGTCTGTAAAAATTCGAAACTGAAAAATGAGTCTACTAGCCCCAGCCTCTCTTACTTCAGAAATAATATTTAAATATATGTTTAATTGATATTTAAATAATATTTAAATTTATTATGTCGACATTAAGTATTAATTTGTCGATATTAAGCATTATTTAAGTATATCAAATATATATATTTAAATATAATTTTTAAAGTATTAGAAACAGCTGAAAAACCTTTTTCAATAATATTTTAAAAATTTCTGTAACATTTCATCAATCTTTTAACAAAGTTTCATATGCAAGAATCGCGGACAGAGCTATTCCAGAGTTGTCTCAGAAATGTTGCAGACATATTTTGCAATTTCTATAAAATGTTTCACTTTTCAGTTGAAAAATTTCTGAGATATTTCTGAAAACTTTTGGTGCTGTATGGGCGTTTTGGAACATTTCAGCAAAATTGCTGAAAATTTGTTAAAATTTCATTGAAAGTGAATTTTTCAGCTAACATATTAAAAAATCGTTAAAATTTCTTTGAAATTTTGCTGAAATTTCTCTGAAATTTTTACTGAAATTTCTCTGAAATTTTGTCGAAATTTTGCTAAAAATGAATTTTTCAGCTAAAAATCGTTGAAATTAAACTGAAAATTTTCTAAAATACTAAAATTTTGCTGAAAAGTGTTCCAAAACGTGAAATAATTTCAGCGAAATTTTTCTACCAGCTATATACCGATAAACATATCTATAAAACTAAGTACTTAAGATAAATCATAAAATTAATATTATCAGTTTTAATTAATATTATCAAATTCCCTCTCAATTCAGCGCATAAATCAGTTTCATTTTTTCTGTTCGCGCGCTATCAAATTGGGTCTCCTTATCTCATGGATGTATTCTACATACTACTAACTTATTTGCGATTATAGGTTATAGGTTACATTTCACTTATCTTTTTTGTTTATTCCAATAATTCAATAGGCAATTATATTTTCTGTGTACAATAAAAATGAATTATTTTTAACTATTTTTCTTGATCGGTTTATGTAAATAAACAAATTCCCGGAAAAAAATGTTTTATATGTAATATATATTAGATCATTTAAAAAGTATCCGCGGTTTTTTGTTCAATTTTTGAATGAAAAAACCGCGGATATTTTTTAAATGACCCAATATAATAGTTAGTGTCGTTCGTACGCAGTAACGAGCATGTTTATCGATTACTTTCCAACTTTTTTGTTCTTGAAATTAACGCTTTAATGTAATTTTTTCATTTGTTATCTCGGAAAATTACTAAAAGAAAAATGACTCGCTGTGTCTGATACTGACTGGCTAACATTATCAGGAGCCGGAGTTCTTGAATTATTTTTATAGTAATGTTTGCGATATGATGCTCTGTAAGCATAGTGAGCGTCCTTATATTTGCTGAATAATTAATTATAATCTTAAAGTTTGATAAATTAGTTCTTCATTCATATTCTATTTTACGATATATATTTCCTAATTTCTTTTCTTTTCGCACCGCACCAGTTGCATGTAAGCGCTATACTCAGTTACACTACATCAGAGTAGTGCACACCATGATGTATACTACATCATTATTGCGCTAAAATCCTATTCCCGCTTGATTTCTATTTTCAAATTTTAAATGTCTCTTTGAGACGGTGTAGCAAAATCCCACTTTGTGCATAAAATTTGCATTACACCGTAGCCACGGAAACAGTACACCGAATGAGTTCACCAACCATGGAAACACGGTACATTGTCTGAATGTTGCACTAGTGGGCGAACATAGCAGCCAAGAGAAAACGCTATTATATTTATTGTATTTAATGTATATGTATCATATGCAATTTTCTCTCTCTCTCTTTCTCTCTCTCTCTCTCTCTCTCTCTCTTTCTCTCAAAAATTAAAAAAAAATTGTATATCAAAATATAAATTATTTGAGCATTATATCCTTGATGAAAATTTTTTTTTAATTTTTATTGCGAATTGGAACATTTTTCAGAAATATTTAGAAATATTCGGATATCATCTACATCTTCTCTTAGAATTTTGTATATAAGTGAATTCTGAAATATTTTAATCCTATAATTTTTAAAAAGTATTTTAAAATTTTTTAAATTTTATAACATTTCACTAGAAATTATACTTACAAGAAATCTTAAGCTGGCGTCCCATGGAGCGGAAATTTATAGTGGAACGGAACAGCGCAACTAATCACAACTCTGCAGTCATTACTTTGCTTTCTTTTCTGCGATTGTGATTGGTCTCGCTATTCCATTCCGTTGTAAATTTCCGTTCATGAAATACCGGCCTTACGATATTTCAATTAGTATATATGAAAAATTCTGAGAAAAGATGTAAATTTTCTGAAAAGTATTCCAATTTGCATAAAAAATATGAGAAAGTTATAAAGTATATAGAAATTTTGAAAAATTATAAAAATAACTGTGAAAAATTATATGAATAATTCTAGAAAAAATTTCATCAAGGATGGACATTATGTAATATAATTATATAAAATAAAAATAATTAAAATGAAACATTTTTTACGATTTCAATAAATAACAATTATATTGTATTTACAAAATCATTTATTAACCCTTGAGATAATTTAAATAAAAGTTAGTATATCGATTTTAACAGTAAACACTGAACGATAAGTTTTTTAAACCTTTGTCTTTATCTGCTTATTGTAGGTTTGTATATATAAACACATACATGTATTGAAAGAAGGAAAGTAGCAGCAAAAATGATAATGTCATAAGGAATTATTTCTGTATTTATTTCAATTCATATTCTCAAATGTACTTGACCTTTTATTTCTTTCGTTTTTCTCGAATCTTTAGGATACATTTTTCTAATTGTTGTTCGTTATAAGCCATGACAATACTAAAAGAAAGGCACATAGACATACCGTCTAGAATTCACAATATTCTTTGAACTTCTGCATTAACCTCAGGTATGTATTTAAAATATTGTTATGCGCGTATGTATATTTAAAAGTTAAATCTTTTCTGGAAAATACCGTTCTACTAAATTATGTTTTCGACATTGAAATTGACTAGAGCGATTTCGCGCATATTGTCAATTAGATTATAAGTTAGAAATAATTTACCATTAATACTCGTTATAAAACTAACATTTATTTTATGTATTTTGAAACGTAGAAATTGAATTCATACGGATCATTAAAGGAAAGATATTGGACGAATATAAAAAAATGAGGGATCGAATCATCTTATAATTAAAAGGCTGACTAGACTTGCTGATTGCAAAATTGAAGGCTGATAACTATTTACAAGAATTATATAGATTTATGTCAGTGTAATCTACTAAAAATGAATTCGTCTAAATCAAATAGTGAAAAAATCAATGAAATCACACGAAGCAATGATTGTCCATTTTTACGCACATTAGTAACAATATTGAAAAATTATTCCGAACGACTGCCTTTTTTGTTTGAGGTACAGTTTTTAAAGGAATTCTCCTTGACTGAAGTTATTCCCTTAGTGTCATGCCAACCAAGAATGATTATTGAAAGCATGATGAAGATTCATGCAGAATGCACGACAGCTATTTTAAATAACCCTGATTATCTAATTAAGCTTGTTTATAAGTACAATTCTGACGAAAAAGAAGAAGAATACGTTTTTTCCAATAACATGCCATTTTATATTGATGTCATAACTATATGTTTTTTGAGTAATGTGAAAATGACTAAAGTTGATCACGTCCAGTCTGCAATGAAGGAGTTAATCGCAATTATGAGAAATAAATATCATATATCTGATACGAATAATTTTGATCCACTAATAATTACTGAAATTAAAATATTATTCTCTTATCCAATTGTATCTCTACATGTGCTGTATTATACCAATAATGGCATTAAATCTTCTGCTTGTAAAATATTACGTAAATGGAAACTCAATAATATCTTTTGTTTACCGTGGTTAGCTTTAATTATCCCCGTAATAGAGTCAGAATTTAAAATCCCACTTGCATTGCTTCTTGCCATAACTGTTGTATTAGATAAAAATAACAAACCTTCTTACGTATTGTATCAACGAATTCTTACGTTATATACTTCCAAAGTATTCCCTAAACGTTTAAAACTAGCGGTATGCAAACATTTGGGTATTATATATAAGAAAGAAAAAATATATAGATTTGCTCCATATTTTACTAAACTTCGTAAAAAAGCTATAAAGTTAATATCGTCTGTTAAAGTAAATGATAAAAGCGTAAGATATATGCTTCGTCAAATATAGACATGTTCAATTATTCTCTATTGCTGAAAAAAATTAATAACATCCCGAGAAAGAAATATATATAATTATATATAATTATATGTAATAATATACAAAAATTTTTTCTTAATTACAATTGTATTTTGCTTTAGATTAAGCTTTTAATTCTTTAAAGAGCAATTTATTACAAGAAAATGTATACGATGTCCATTAAAAAATAATATTAACATAGAAAACATGCACACATATATATATATATATATATATATACTTTGATTAGCTTGTTAAATAAAATTTTAAATAATATCTATTACTTTAAAATTTTTTTAGTTGAAAGTAGAAAATATATAAATGATTTGTTGCACGCACAATACTTCTCTCCTATAAAATTGAGAATCTTTTGAAGCTGAAATGTTTTTTATGATACTACTAACAAAAATTGATTTATTAAATTGATTATGAGTTAATGCCAAAATTAGTTAAGTAATTTTTGAAATGATATCATATATGTTTACATTATAAGTATTACTTTATGATTTATCTAATTCTTTTATGATTTAATCTAATTTAAAGATGCAAGCTAAAAATGAAAAAAAAAAACACTTTTTAATAACAGCATCATTATAGAATCATTATAGAAATGCTTAATGTCAAATTTTTTAAATAATTTTATTGACTACAATTAATGTAATAAATATCCTTTGAAGAATAAAATTTTTAAGATAAGTAAACAGCTTATTTGTGATATAAGATTTTTATTAAAATTTTGTATGAATTTTGTATCTAAATATTTATACTGTACAGTATTAAATATTTATTTTGACAAGAGATTTATATTGTAAAACGCTATTATATAAAATAATTATCTAAAATATATATTATAATTATCTAAAAAAATTATTAAAATCATATTTTATTATTTGTGCGTATGTCAACATTCTTCCTTAAAGCCGCAGCACAGACTTTTGCATAATGCATAAGCGAATCAACTAATCAGAATCTTTCCTTTCCTCCCATTCCATAGAAAAGAAGGATTTCGATTGATTGATTCTCTTATGCACTATGTATTATGCGTTATGCGAGAGTCTGTGCTACGACCATTACTCAAATTAGTTTAAGAAGTGAGGTATATTTGTAAGAAAAATAAATAACTAGTTAAAGAAGGAAAGTCTCTAAATTGAAATGTTTCCAAGTGTAACTCTTAAATGATTCTATCTTTACTTATATGTATATCTTAACCCTTTGCGTTACATAGTGTATCTTTAGATGGCATAACTATCTCAGTTTTTATATGCTTTTTTGTATATAATAATTGATATATATTATGTATTTAGTATCATTATATTCCTAAGACAACTAAAAACTAGAATGGCTGAACATAAAAATAATTTTAACAGAACAAAATCCATTCATTCTGTGATGACAGAACACAGGACGCTTCACAATCACAATTTTAATTGAGACAACGTTGAAATATTAGCTATTAAGCAAAATTATAATAAACAAATTGTCTCCGAAATGATAAACATAAAAAGAACGAAGAATTAATTTAAAAACAGATACTGAACTATTGAATCCTTGTTTTCTGACTGATCACTGATTATTCACATTAAATGACAAACAAATTTGATTTTAGTCGTTCAATGTTCATTTTACTGCGAGACTCGCAACTATCAACATCGTTGCTCTAATTTTATTTTATTGACGTTTTTTAATTTTATTTTATTGATGTATTATAACACACTCCAATTTTTATATTATATACATGTTCAAATGCTAATTACTTATGGATTTTTGTTATATCTTTATGCGTTCCTAAAATAACTCTTTATATCAATTTATTTTCCGTTTTTTATTATTCAACATATTATAATTACAGTCGAACCTCCGTAAAATTAACCTCCTTTTATTTTAATCTTCGTAAAAGTCATGCTTAATATAACAATCGAGCACATATGTCGCGTATTTACTTTTACGGAAGTTAGTCCCGACAAGTTACTTTTATAGAGGTTTGATTTATATTTGAATATTATATTTGAGTTTTTAATTTCTTGAGACCATCCAACTCACCAACTGGCCATGGAAAAATATATGGAGAATAGCCAATTCACGCACACATTAGTCATGAAATATAACACACGAAATGTATTCGCTGATAAAGGCTTGAAGTTAGCCGAAACGTGTGTCATTTAGTTGTTAAAATATATTATTTGGACTAAAAACGAGTTTAATCACTTATAGCATCGATTTCTAATCGCCCAATTTTATTTATCATTTAATTATTATTAAAACTTTTAAATTATTATAAAATAGAATGATTCATATAGCTGAGAATGATAAATTATTGATGGACTTAGTATTTAATTTTGTTGTATTTTCATATAAATGTACATGTTCCTTTGTATGTGTGAAAAATAATGAAAGAAGGTCACTGATACTGATATGCCACTTCGTTTTAGAACAATATTTCTTAAACAAAAGATAAAAAAAATAAAACTGTACAAACATAAATTCAAATTAGCCAACAAAAATCCAACTTGTTAAAGGATGACATTTTGATTTTATTTGCATTAAAACTTATATAATTTAGTACTTGGCTCTTTCAAAACAGGTAATAACTTTTTCAAAACTACGTAGTTTTAAAAGAGCTGAATTTCTTGTTTACGAAAAATGGTGTGATTAAATCTTATAATGTATGACTAAATATTATTTTTCTGTTAAATGATCTTATAGACAAATAAGTACACTTAAAGAAAGCGATTACACATTTTGTTTAACACTAGATTAAATTTTTTTTTCAATATTTTGAAAAGAAAATAGCTCTTTCATGCCTACTCTCTTCTATCCTTAGATTACTTAGGATTTCTTATTAGATTACCTAAGATTACCTAGAGAACACTAAAGATGATTTAGATTTATCAAAAATTACCTTGGATTACACAAAATTTCGTTTAAATTGCCGTTGAATTACCTAGCCCTTGTACAAAATTACCTCCGTGACCAATCCCCCTATTGTAAATTATAAAACACCTCTGAAGCTCATATTATAAATTACATATTTTTACTTTTACACATTATTCAATAAATTTTTTTATAACTTTAAAGATACAACCGGTCAAAGGAACACTATGTTCCCCTACACACACGAAAGAATATATACTTAAGACAAAAACTGTTTATCATTGCAGTAACTCATGTATATAATTTAGATATCGAAAATTCTATACCACAACCAGAAACAATTTCTCGAAATGACGTATTTTCAAGGAACTATTTATGACTGATATAGTCTGTATTATACTTACGCAAAATAATGGCATAATTAATATGTTATCATTACTATATACATAGATTTTGCAAACGTATAACATACAACAGTAAATATCCGTTTTTCAACTAGTAATCTTCGTAATATATATCAGATAAATATTTTAAAAATCAAAATGTTTAACATGTGAATGTTCAACATATTTTAATGTGTGAATAATTTCTCTTTATTTCTTATGGTTTATATCAGAAAATCAAGGAAAGAAAGACACTGAAAGGAATCCCTATAACGATGGCTTCTTTAAAATATGTTGTAAGATTTTCAGTAATTGTTATTTAACTGTTGTTGCAATTTCTGCACATTAATACTGTCAAAATTTGTTAAAAAAGTTCCTTTATCTTTATAATTTCTTGGAGTTTCCTTACAACTTATTCCTATCTTCGAAATATTCTCTTTCTTAATATCTATAATTAATACTTGATATCCCTTTCTCAATCGATCCAGGAGAAGAGTATTTCGAAAGGTATTTTCAATATGTCTGAATAAATTGCAAGTGAGATTCAAAAAATTATAAAGGCTAAATTCAAAAATTTTTTGTATATAGCCCTGGTACTTCGAAATAATTATGATCTGTATGCTAAAAATTTCAGGTTGTATTTTCCTTATTAATGAAAATAATACTAGCGCATTATTATGCTGAATCTATGACAGTTCCAGATAAGCAAGCAACAGAAAGATGTATGTTATAATATCTAATAAATATGTATGTATTTACAGTAAAAAATGCATCAACTATTAATATTGATTTACTTTACAGATACATTTAATAAAAAAGCAGTGCAAGGAGAAAATGAAGGAAGTGCATCCAACAGAAATGGAGGAATTGAACTAAATAAAGCGGATGAATAAGGCTATGAACAAAGATATCCTGAAGAAGGACTCTTTGAAAGAGGACGTTTGAAAAAGATAATAAAAAGGTACCAATATCTAAATCGTTATGAACATTAAAAAGGGTATAAAGAATTTTAATAATCATACAATATTACAAATTAATCCATAATATATTATTATTCTCTATAAATTAAATATGAATCTCTATAAATTAAATATTCGATTCATCGCAGTAGTATAGTTAAAATGAGAAACGCAATAATATAAACGGATAATAATATGCAGTTATTAGATGAGGCCAGATGAATGTTTTATCGAGAAACGGAAATTGCTCGCAAATGGTTGAACGACCGATTGTTGGAAATTTCTTGATGTTCTAATAATCAAATTGATAAATTAGTTAAAATATATGAGTATTAATAAAGCTAAACAAGCAAACCGTCACTCTCATAAAAAGGCTTACCGCAAAGATCTTATCATTATGTTTCGCATGATGTTAAAATGCTTCCCAATTATTTTTATCGTCAGTGTGATTATATGATCAGTGTGATAAATATACCGATGAAATAAAGTCGTCAGAGAGTAAAATATATCAAGATATTGTAAATATAAATCTTAATCAAGAAGTAGAATAAAAAATGAATAATTGACACGACAGACAAACACTAACTGAGAGAAAAATAATAGTTGGAAAATAATAATTTTTTGTAACACTTGACTGGACAATTCATCATAACTAAAGCTTGATAAAATAACTGATACGACTTAAAACAAAAATAAAAAATAAGTTCCAGTAACTTATTTAAATAAAATATAAAATTGCAAGAGTCAGTAAAATAACTGATGCGACATATTTGCAATAAAAAATATAAAATAGATTTCAAACATTTATTTAAAATATAAAATGAGAAATAGAGCCCGAAAATGCATTTATTTATTTAAAATATAGAAATAATTGATCTTTTATTTTAAGTAAATCCTCTAAGGTTATTTCTTTTCTTATTTTAAATAAAAATAGATTTCGAAAACTTACTTAAAATATAAAATAGGAAATATATATTTTAAGTAGTAAATACAATAGTTCCAAATAGTAAATACAAAATATTTTAATAATTTTATTTATTTGAATATATGAATCCTCCAGCAAAATTAGCAGTAACAATATAGCAATATTGCAGCGATATTGCTGCAAATTCTATGCTGTATGGATACATTTATAAATATAACATTTCAGTTTTTTTATAGCTGCAGCCTAAATAATTAATACTTAATAATATTAACTCTCCTTGAACTATGGAAGATGAAAATTTCATGAATCATTGATATATCTCACACGCACACACACACACACACACACACACACACACACACACACACACACATACACACACGCGCACACATATGGTATATACTTCATCATAAATATACTATAATTTAAGTACTCACCGTCACTTTTACCGACGAATCAGTAACATAATTGATACAATAAAATTGTATAAGGAAAGATTCAGTACCAACTTTATGATAGGCCGATATTCATAGTCGAGTCTTACATTTAAGACTGTCTTAAGTACAATCTTAGGATGTCGTAAGTCAATCCGAGGACTGTTATACTAAAAAATAATAATGTTATACTAAAATCTTAAAACATTATATTTAAGACAGTTTTAAAATAAAAACGGATTATAAATACCGTCTCATGTTTAACGTTTCACAGTTGTACTTTGTTGTCACTTTAAACCTTATGAACATCCACAGATAGAGAGGGCAGAGATTTAGAGAGAGACACCGTTCAATTGCACACACCAATTGCCATGTTATCCCTTCTACTATGATACTGCCAAATCCAGGACACTTCTCGCGCTATAACGCTACACTTTGTCTTAGCATTGAGACATTACCGTGCCTTCTGATAGTTACTTTAATAATATAATTTATCATAGACATAAACTAAAATATCATAGCAAGGATATTCATATAATGTGTTAAATTTTGATTTATAGGGCCGATGTAGAAAAGGCGAAGAGGAAAATGGAAAGCGATCTGAAACTGACGCAGGAAACCATTGCCTATCTCAAGAGAAATAAGAAGGAAATCGATCCATCAAAGATCAACCAACGCAAAGATAACGAATCGCTAATGAAGGAATTGCAGAAAAAGATTCAGGAACTGCAGAGCCGAATCGAGGAACTTGAAGAAGAGGTGTGTATAACAAAATAAATCAAGAAAAAAAAACATTTTCCTAAAATTTTTAGTCTAAAAAAGGAAAAAAGAAATATTTTAATCAATTATTTTTAAATTATTTTTAAATTGATAGTCTTGTCTTAATTATCAAATTAACAATATATCAATAATAAATTGATTAAAAGTTCAGAATCAATCAAAGAATATTAAATAGAATTCGATAAAGTGTGTTTATTATTGTCTCTTATAATAATTACAATGAGTGCTTTCCAGCAAGGACACAATCAGACACAGTGTAACACAGTGAATCATTACATCCTTGTTGTTTGCCTACGTTAAACAAAGATGAAACGAGTTCACTGTGTTATATAGTATTTGTATCCTTGCTGGAAAGCATCTTATATATTATAACTGATGAAAACGATGATGTGATTTTCTTTTCCTAGGTCGAAGCAGAAAATAAAAAAGAAGAATAAGTTTGACCATTTTACATAATTTTTAATATTGTTTCTTTCTCACAGCATATTTATTAAAGAATCATTGGTTATTTTTGTTCACGAATAATTCAATTATATAATATAGAAGAGATAAAATTACTAAATTATATATTTATTATCCTCTCGCATTATGTCTGACGATTGACTTCAAAAAAATCAAATTAAAAGTTAATAGTTATCGATAAAATTGTAACTAAATTAAGTTAAAAAGTTAAGAGTCTAAAATGTAACTAAGTTAAGTTAAAATTAATTAACTTTTTAACTTACCTTTTTAACTTAGCATTATCCAACTCTGCAAATATCACCCTCAATCCCTAAAAACGACCCCTAATTAATCTATAATAGTACAACACCTTAAAACAATAAATTATTCGAACATTTTAACTGATTAGGTTTCTCTGATTTTGTTGCTTGCGTTGTTGTTGATTTACAATGAATCCGATTTTGTTACTTTACATTTCACTCCTGAGAATCACCCCTAGCCACTGCTGAGCGAAGATTCAGAATGGATCATTTAGTTGAATTAATTAACATATTAAAAATTTTAAGCACAACTTTATACGTGAATACATCAAATATGAACGCCAAGATCAAATTTTGGATGTTAAATAATACATTATATATTCTTTTATTAAAACAATTTATTCCAGATATAATTGTGAGCCGATAACATTCGGTTTCAACACAATCGGGCGTAGGAGATTATTAGCGTTTCAGAATAATTGTGTTGAAACCGAATGTTATCGGCGAGAAATTCTTCAATCGGGGATGGTGATATTAGATGAAACAGAGGAAAGACTGAATAGGAAGAAGTCATCGAAGAAGTCTGAGGACAGATCGGAGACAGAGGAGTAAGAAATTTCTAGTAATGGCGATAGAATCGAGGCTGGAGGTTGAACGACTGTAGTCTGTTCTTGGGCTGATGCCTGAATTAGCAGAGATTGTTTTCAAGAGTTTTCCGCAGTGTTAGAGTGGACACGGGCGGTGAGTCGCTAGGTGACAGTAACGAAAGGAGGAAGAACTGCACGAACGCACTAAAAATTTGGTCGTCTTTAAAGAGGGACCACACAAGAAAAGGAAGGACCACCCAGCGTACTGCAGTGAAATCAAAAACTTACTACTTCGCGATAGCGATGTATAGGAAGCCAGAGAGAACGTCGGAGAGAATGTAGTATGGGAAAGTGTTATCTTTAATTTTATGACCTTAATATTTATAAAAAAACGCACGTGCAGTGCGTCAAGAAAGTGTATCGAGGCTTGATCGTTAAAAAGTATCTTGGCGTCCAGTGATCTTACGCTTCCAGTGACATATTTATTATTATTTTAGCAGTGTCCGAGGGACACAAACTCGATGTCCTTTTGGTCCCGCCGCTTGTACACGTGCACCGATTTTTAGTTTATCTCGGAGCGACATTTACGAGAAGATACTGGATTCTTCGTTTTAATTTTTAGTGGAAAAGAAAATTTTTAGTCTTCTCTAAGCTATAACACTCAACTTGTTCGTTATTCGCAGCTGTCTCTTTATTTCAACGAATTCCAGATCTCCACGAAAGAAAAGAGTCGTGGGAATCCGCTCGACGTAACAATACAAATCGAGTACTTCCTGTTGTGACACATTTACATAGCTCGAAACTCCACAAGCACTTCTTAACCGGATATTTCTCAGATGTATGCTGGATTTTAAATCTTTTTATAATAGGCATTCTATTTAAAGTCTAGACTACGTGAACGTTACAGACTAGTTTTGTGAGGTATTCTGTCCAAAATTACGCTTTCCACAAGAAAAGAATGCAGATTAAGTGAATGCGATTCCTCCCATACAGAAGCTTGCAGCAATGCTACTGTATTATTGTAGGAATGTTCTATACTGTATGAATTCGAAAAAAAATCACAAATAAATTTTTTATCTTAACACATTTATGAAAATCTTTTTTAATGCGTTTAAAACGCTATGTACAAAAATACATACAATGTAAAAATATATATATATATATATACATATATAACATATTTTATAAATTTTATTTTATAAATTTTTTTTTTATTTTATATTTTAAACTTTTCCGGAAAAGTTAATGTATTCTTTATCGAAATCTTTCTCAGTTTTAACTTTATTTTAGATATTTGATTAGTTAAGAATTTTTTGTACATTATATTATATTTGCTCATAAATATGTCTCGAAATGCATGTGTCGTTATATCCTGCAATTACATTCTTTTGAAAAATACGCAAAGAAAATGAGAAGTACATTTAAAATCTGATCTTATGAGTAAGTAAATTTAATTTTTTATCTTACTAATTTGTGAAATTAAATTTGATATTACATTTTAATATATATTAATGATATCATGATATTATGTAAATTATACTAGTGATACGATTCAATATAGCTGTAATGACTACTCAGGAGCCTTAAAAATTAATTTAGGAAAATAATAAAAATACAAATATTAATCCGTACAATAATACAAGATACATTTTGGTGCCTCATTCATCCAAACATGAGTTACTAGAATCCGTCCGTTTTTTCATCAATTCGGAATGGTTAAAAAAATCTTTAAAAATTCACCAACATACTTCCAACTTTCTAGAATAAATATTGAAACTTTATTTCAGAAAATAATAAAATGTAGTATAATTTGTAATTATCGAAAGACTCAAAAAAACTTGTAAGAACAGAGGCAACTGAGGAATTGCTCGGTCACTAGTGATTGTACGGTAAGTACAATAAAAAGAAATAAAAAGGCTCGCGGGAATAGACACTGGTCCAAGTGCACTAATTGTTTAAAAATATATATCTCAATATTTACAAATTGAACGTTTATTAAAAAATGGCAGAACAACGCGGTACACTCTGTATAACATATGCGTTATAATATACTTGATATTCTGCAGTTCTGTTTTCAGATTAATGCTATTATTCTGTTGTTTTATATTGATCATCTCTGATATTAATCTCTTATTGTAATTTCACTTAATATCCAAAATTTTGACATTTTCCCAAGCATTGACATCGTGAGTTGCATCCAGCCTTGTGTAACTGGTGTAGGAAAATTTATTCTCGATAGAGAACTTGGTTGTCTTCCTTGAAGATTGCAACAAATACATTCGCATTTTCCAATCATTTTTCGTATGTGTAAGAACACTAAGTATATAATTTTTGCGTCTACTATTACCTTTGAAGAAGATTAGAAGACGAACCGAAACGAAATTATATCATCATTTAACGATTATCGTTGTTCTTCCATCTTTTAATAAATTTACTTACAACTTATAAATATTGAGAGATATTTTTAAACAATTAGCACACTTGGATCATTCTCTCGAACCTTCTATCTCCTTTTATTGTACTTTTAAATTAGGGAATCGTAATATTCAAATTTTTTGTATGGTAATGGTTCTACTAATCATATTTCGTCAAACGATTTCACTAGTTACTTTTATTGTTACTTTATTTCTAACTACATAAAAGTTTAGTTCTAACTATAAGCCCTAGAAACAGAGATTAACAATCTGATTGGTTGTTTAAAAATCACGCGATCACAACACCTTTTTTCATTGTATCACAGTTCACACATATAGACTGACACTCTATGTATAGTATGTGGATCATGTGAGATTCTACACCAATATCCTTGTGAAAAAAAGATTATATGATATAGTGTTTACAGTATATTTAATTTCTTAAAATAAAATTTTTTCTGTGTCATATCTCACAAATTAAATATAAGTATATAATGTAGATTACAAACAATATTATTTTTTTATTATAATATAATTTTATCCTTAGAGTATTTACGATGATTCGTATCTTATTTCTTTTTTTCGAAATACACCTGACTAAATAATTCTTTTATCCTTTCCTTTTTTTTTAAATGTACTTCGTAAATATTTTTTAAAGATGTTAAAATATATATAAGAATTTATTCATAATTTTTGTATATTTCATAATTTTTGTAAAAATTATAGAAATTAATCCACACACAAACAACGCATCATGCAGAGTAAAAGAAAATTATATATATATATATACATTCAGCAGCAAAATTAGTCGAAATTACGATCATTCGACCTCTAGATAGGTCCGAAAGTCTATTAGACCTGATCTAATAAACATCGAATCGACATCGATCTGACATAAGTGAGGAATGAAAAGACAGTAATTTTACGGTAATAAATATCTTTATAATAAAAACGTTATTATAAATGTCTTTATCATAAATGTCTTTATGATAAAAACAAAAAAGTTTGAAAATTATAGTTTTGTTGTTGGCTTCTAACATCGACTAATTAACTATATTTACTTTATATATGTTTTATATGTATGTATAAAATAATCTTGGTTTGGATTACATGAACAAATAATGTGTTTTTAGAATTAGGCTTAGATACCTATATAAAAGATTAATTAGAAAATTTGCATGTACGTGCGTGCGATATTGATGTAGTAGTGTATAATGATACGTTAATAATACGTTCAGGTTATGGTAAATCCTACTGTGTGAATCCGTAATACAAATAGTTTTAGGATCTCCTGTTTTAAGTTCCACCTCTTGTAAACGTAATTAAAAACGGTACTTTTGCATGTACAACATTGTGCAATGGAGTATTGATTTTTTTTCCAGAAATTTACATAAGTTTATATTTTGTTTTTTTTTATAGCGTAAAATTGCTGTCGAATCGACATTAAGATAATAGTTTCTTCCCAGAAGGAACATATTTAAAAAAACGAAGACAGGAAGTGATACGGCAAACTTATCAAAGTTAAATAAGATTAATACTTTAAGAAGCTGAACAAGACATACATATGGATAATTCGAGAAGCTCAATTATTGTACCTAATAAGTAGAAAAAATTTTATGGTGACTGTAGAACACATACGCTAGCCTTTATAAACGACTATTTGATACGAAACTTGAGCGTTTGATAAAATGACGATGCAATCATTCGGCTCTGTTATGGATATAACTGGAGAATTAGATGAGA